ATATTAAAAGAACTGCTCAACCATGTAAAATGCACTGCTCCACGTGCGATGCTATGTTTGTACAAAAATGCTCAGAAGCTATTGCTTGCAATAATAATGCAGATCACAGGAACGGACAATTTTTTGCTGTGAAAACGTTTATACTTCAGCTGCCAAGCAGTACATGAATTGCTGAAAACCTCCATCACGCAAAATCAATGTCTTTCTCGTGATGGGGAATTAGAAAGAAGAGCTAGGCAGATAGCATGTAAGAGATGCAATAGCTTTATCTGACACTCGGGAGTATTGCTCAGAGGGTAAACTCTGGTGTGGGAGACGTGACCAGCCTTGTTTTGCACTTCAGCACTGGTATGTCCTTGACTGTTTTCTGTGTCTTGCAGCAGTGCTTTCTTTAGAAACAACTCAGCTCTGAAGTGCCAAGTTTAACAAAGGAAACAAACAACCGTGACTGAAAGTGCTCTCTGAAAGCTTACTAAAAGAAGGAAAATTTATTCTGGACCTTGAAGTAATGGCATTCTGCTCCTTTTTAAGTACGTGAGATGTTTATACACGTGAACTAAACCCAGATAAGAATATATTTTTCCCTTTTGTTCTACCAGATGCTTTTCTGGTCATTTGCTTAAGTAGAATTCAGCACTTCTTGGGTCACTTGGAAACATGTAATGAAGCCCTAACGACAGGAAACAACTACAAAGCCATCACTACTTTATAACCCACAGTACCTTATATGCAAAATGATTGCCTGAATCAGTTTTCCATGGTTTCCACAGTGATGTGGAACAGTTAATCCTGTGCGTTTTTTGTCAGTGGGAAGAGTGAATTATGCTGTTAATATCGATAGAATGATTTAGTCGGGAACAGTATATCTGGCGTTGGGAGAAGCAGTGTCGGTCTCTGCCACATAGGTGTTCTTGCTTAATGGCTTCATGTTATTTTATTCGAGTTAAAAAGTCACCTCGCATCTGAACGGAGTTAAGAGATCCATAAGACCAACAGAAAGGTCTTGGTCTAGCGTCTCCATCAGCAATATTTAAACGTGTCTAAATTTTCATCAGGTTACAAGCATCAGAAGTAAACTTTTTTTTCTTTTAATCTACCATACTTTAAAAAATGAAATGAGATTTCAATATAAGAGTAAACAGATTATGAAGAAGTAACTCCAAAGGTGGTCTGAAGAGGCTGTCTCTTGTGGATTGCAGTCTGAGACATACGCCTTTGCTTTTGTATTGCACAGGGACCCCCTCCCCCCCCAATTCCTGTTTGTGGATTCTGCTAAGCAGTGATGTACCTAAAGATGTGGCTCACAACAGAGCACACACATTCCAAAATTTTTACCATTCTTTAACATCTCTCTTACATTAACTAATAAGACCCCATGTAATTTAAAATAAGAATTCAAGGTAAATGGATGGGTATACTTTAACCTCAGTGCTTCAACTTTCAAAGGACAAATATTGCTTATCTGCAGAGATGGTGAAGTAACTGTTAGCTTAGGAAAGACAGCATTGTAAAAAGCACCATGAGAGGGAGGAAAAAAACAGCTGATGTTTTCTTTCTGCAAATAGCTCAAAAAGAACCTGTTGGGAAAACCTGAGTGCACGATCTTGCACCATCACTTTTATGTGTGAATCTCCACAGTTGTAACATCTTAACTCCTGAACTGACTTTGAAGTCTTATTTAAAATAATTTCTATGAGTACGGAAATACATAGCACTACTGTCAGTTATCTCTAGCAGCAATAATGTTAATTTAGTAAGGTAGAACAGCTCACCACAAAATGCTTGTGCTACCATAAGGGAGGCAGAAGGATGTTATCAATGGGAGGACAGAAAAGATTGCTCCTTTCAGCAACATGTTAAGACTTGGACCCTTAATCACCTTTCAAAATTAGGGGCTGATCCTAATTTATGCAGTAACATTTACAGAGATGCGATTAAATTAGTTCTAGATAGGAAGAAGGTTACCAAGGTTTCTAGTATTTAAGAGGCACTCAAAATAAAAGCATTTAAGTCATAAAGAATCTGGATGATTTCACAGAAACAAGCCCTGTTTTAAAGGAATTTAACAGGCACAGCTTAAAACATCTTAGCATTTCTTAAAATCTGAAGAACGTCTTGTCTATTGTACAAGAAACAAGCTTGTAATATAAAGAATACCAGATATTACATACCATATCATACTAAGGACTATGTAATGTTGCTCACTCCATTCAAAACCAGAAATGTCTTGAACTAAACAACTGTAAGTAAGCATAAGAATCACTTAACTTTAGGCATTTACATCTAAGCTTATTAAAAACTGCCTTTACAGTTAACGTGGAGAAACAGGCATATACAAACTATGACTCACTTCATCCTAACGTAGAAATGTTCACACCCTTGGATACTTCATGCCAGCTTTCCCAAGTATGCAAGATGCCAGTAAGCTGTTCTAGAATTACAGATGCTGACTACACAAATACAATGCCTGCATTGAAGAAAAGTTATCAAATAAATCTGATTTTTTTTAAACTAGGTCTCCACAAACACCTGATAAAGCTTAATCCACAAAACTTGACTGCATATTCCTTGTTTAATGGTTTTACATTCACATTGAAGTGGTTTCACCCATTAGAAATAGTTTATTTTCTACATTGTTTGCAAAATTTATTTTTAGCATGCATTGTAGTGAATGACAGAGGCACATTCCAACGGAGTACTACAACTGTTTAGAGAATGAAAAACAAGCAGTCAGTTTACCCTCCACAACACGAAGTCTCAAAACAAGATTAGTTTTACAACAAAGTGCTTATTCTTCAAATTAATACAGCAACGCTTGAGCCTATTTAAGAGTTATTGTAAGCAGCCTCCATCAAACAGGTTAATATTTTCACAGGACAGCCATCCAGAAACTTCTGAAGACAACATCAATATTTTAATAGCTGTTTCCAAAAGTTTGCAACAACTTACTCCTGCTGTTTTGGCTGGCACAGAATTGTTTAGAAATTGGTCTGTGATCTCCACTGTTATTGGATAGGGCAAGTGTTAGCATACTCAAGTTAGCCTGGTCAGTCTGAAACTGAAATGAGAGGGAGCAAAATCAGTGGGGATGTTATGGTTTTTTTATGTTGTTTATTTTTTTTAAATTTTATTTTATAAGTGGATAATCAAAGATATTCCAAGCAATACGTAGGCTTTCTATTAAAACCACTTTGTTAGGTGACTCGTATTTCCTTTACAGAAAAAAGTCCTTGCATATGGTGCAAGTGTAATCAAAAGGACCAAAAAAGGGAAATAGCCTTCCTTGGAAAATATAAACAAGTTGTTATAAGCCCATTAAGAAGGTAATCAATCAATAAATACAATTGAACAGTCTCCAAGAAAGAGTTTTAGGAAAAAAGCTGATGGAACAAGATTTCAGATTCTTTCATAAAATGTTAGAATTAGTTTGCATGTTCCACTTTACTCCATCAATTAAAATAGATTATTTCCCGTTTTGATCATACGTTAGTCTAACATATGTTAGTCTAATTATTATCAGTGAAAGAATTCACATTCACATTGCAAGGTACACACTTTATGCCTAATCCTACCACCCTTTATATTTTGAGTACTAAGAAAATTTTCGTAAGAGTTCAACACACTTTTCTCATTTTTCAGTGATCACTAACATGTGCACAACCACTGCAAGGGCTGTAAAAATACTGTCTCCAGTGAACCTTGTAAGTTTTAATGATGCCAATAGAAGAAAGATGAACCAGGACTTTCCTTTCACCGTGTAAGAGTCATGGGAAGCAAGAAGCAGGGGGAAGATGTGGCTAAGCTATCAAACATAGGAATGAAGTTAAATAAAATGCCTTTTCTCAGCAGCAAGCCACATGTGTTTGTGTAATCTTCACAGTGTTTTGCTAACTTGCTTTTCTATTCCTATACTTCTAGGAAATCCAAAAACATTTTAATATATTGGTTCATTGTTAATAGCTCCAGTTGTCTTTAAGAGTGATTCCAAGATTTACTTGTAGATAAATGGAAAAAGTTACTTACAACAATAGAAAAGTTCCACTAATACCCTCATTTGTCCATCTTTCAGCAATTCTTTCTGAAGAACATTCAGGTTTGGGGCCTGAACTAGATTACATCTTTTGTATCTGATTTGTCCAGCTTTGTATTTAATTTGAGGAGGTTTTTTTCTGTAAGAAAAACTAGGCTCTGAAAACAGATTTTTGGGTGGCTGTAGAAGCAACTACTGCTATACATTTAAAGAAGATAATAGTTCTAAAAACTGAAGCATTTTGAAACAGCTGCAGTCAACACAGTCTAAATTTTTATGCAACTTGTAATACCTTATGTACTTATGGCTCCACTTAGATCAACATCAATGCAGCAATTATCAAGAAAAAAACCTCACCAGTCCAAGGCAGGGATGAAGACACCTCTTGACGTGAAAATACAGATATTACTGCTGCTCCTTATAGAAGTTAGTCAAAGCAATAGGAAGGTATGTTGAAACAGCAATAAGCTACACCCTCATCAACATTCTTGGTCACTTTACTTAGCTATGCCAAAATTTTCAAGCCCCCAGGTGAAATGGCTATTCACTAGCAGATACTACACAATGAAACTTCAATTGAACAGAAAAGGCAAGGCGCACACAAGGAAGAAAAATGGATTGGCACTATTACTGCAAAGGTAAATACTTGTGACTTTGTTTCAATAGGAGAAATATTACAAAACTGGAAGATGTAATTAATTAAAACAATTTTCACCAAAATATATAACTAAGATTGTTCTAACAGTCGTCATTTTCCGTAAGCCAAAAACCTAATGTTATGTCTGTTATGGACAAAGACCAAAGTTTTTAGCCCTGGAAGCTACTAAATGGAAGTATCCAGACATTTGAAACTCTTAAGTACTTTAAACTCATATTAAAGGCAGTATATCACATTAGACATCCAGGACTAAAAATCTTGCCAACAGTTTGAAAATAAATGTTCACATTTAACAACAACAACAACAAAATGTATAGGATTGTTCTTCATAATGCTTTTTTTTCCAGGAATCAAATGACATGTGTTGTAGGTATGGGGTCCCAATCCTCCTTTTTAAGCTACTGAAATTTATGTATAGTATCTATCAGTAACGCAGGACTGAGTATTCTCTTCAGAAAGCATCTGCTCAAAGTTGTAAATCTAAATGACAACATCTACAGTATCAAAAGTGCTTTTACAATGAATATACTATTCATGTACATACAGTCTCAAAATACTTCATGAACTCTGAAATGGTTATCTAAGGAGGGAACGTCATCAGCAAAATGTAGTTGATCATTTATTTCCACACCAAATTCTTCAAGCATCTGTACAAATTTCTCATGCTCTCTCCCAATCCATGACCTCATTGTGTCAAACACTTGGTACGGTGTAACGTGAGCATGAACTTCAATTCCTGTCTGTGCAAGTTCTTTCAGCACTTCAGGGTAAGTTACCCAAGTATTGCTTCCTCCCGAGTGACCACCATCCAACCAGTAAATTGCTTTTATGTTTTTTAAGAAGGCATCTGTATTCTTGTCTTTTTTAGCTTCCTTCAGCTCATAAAGCAGCTGGTTCAAAACCACACAGCCTTTACTGAAGCCAATCAAAGTAAACGACGCTGCACCTACAGCAGATGGTATAATGAAGTTCAGAGCAGAATTATTAGAGCATTCACAATCTCTCTCTCTCTCTGTGAATGAGCAGCCATTTGTTGTAGGAACAGACCGCGGCTGTGATTTACAAGCAGCTATTTTTGCATCCTTGCTGACATCCTGCACACTTTTCTGGGACAGCAGAATATTCTGAGAGAGTCTGAATGCATTAACTAGCAATGCATGGAGATGCTTGAAAGCTCCAAAGTCAGTGCTGTGCTCTGGTGCTCCAAACATGTTGCTCGCCACGAAGTTGTCATAACAACTGAATTTGTGCAGATGCATTCGAGAACACTTTATAACCCAAATAAAGCTATTAGGGAACCGGCGAGCAAGTATGGTAGCAACATTTTCAAAACTCCAGTGCTCCCACTGAAAGTTTTCTGGGTGGCAAGACATGATGTCATTATAGTTCTGAAAAATTAAACAAAATAGAGAAAATGCATTACTACATTGTGAAAATACTTCAGCACTGTCTAGTGTACTTATATTCATAAGAAAGGACCATAACTAACAGAGTTAGAGGTACTCGCTTGCTAGGCTTCCAGAACAAGAAACACATTAAAGGAACTGCCATATTTAGATCTAATTATTCTACTTTAATATTTTTACCATACATTTTGAATAGCCCCAAAATAAATACAATAAAAAATAAGCACATGGAAGTATTCATAATTGTTGTTGACTTCACTCTAAGAGAATATTAAAGTATTGTTCAACTTAGTATGACAGAATACATAATTTTACTGTATTACCTCCATCAGCAGAAATATTGATTATCTTGTTACAGAAAAACAATAGACTTAAAGCTTTGTAGTAAGTTTTCTATTTTTTATACAGAAAAAAAAAACACCTCTCATTCAGCTGTAGGGAATCTACTTTCCCCTTGTCCACATCCATATGGAGCATAGACGGAAAAAAATTAACCCTCAAGTCATGAATGATCCTCACCTCTGAATTCATAATGGCAGAGAACACTAATTACTTTACTTTATTAAGCAATAATAAAGCCATACCCAGGAATGATAATCAAACAGGTTTTCTTAGGCCATTCCAATCCTTAAAATGAAAATCCACAAAGGTCTGCATCTTTACCTTACAGAAAAGGAAAGCCTTTTCCCAGAACAAAAAGACACTACTTTTGACAAGCAGCGAATTTTGAGATCAGTTGACTACCCAGAGTAGCAGAGTATGTAATGTTACGGGGGGTCAACCACACGCTTAGGGACAGCACTTCAGAGTCTCTCTTTCCAATTACTTGTCAACTCGGAGGCAACGCGTGCCTCCTTCAGGGCCCGCTAAGAAAGCGTCAGCGCCTGTGAAACACCGTCCGGGCGGTGCCTGGGCTGTCTCTACACCTGCACAGAGCTGCGGTGCTCAGCCTGCCGAGGAAAACTCGCAGTCTTAGGATTTCATCCTTCTTCTCTCCACAGGGGCTCTTTGATACGACTGCTGATATGGCCGTCACCGCCAATCTCAGGCAGAACCATGGAAGAGGACTCCCCCCTCCGCTGCTGCTCCCGTTCCAGCCTTCGAGAACGGCCCACTCCCGCTACCTTAACCCGACGGCAGCGGGCGGAGAGCGCCGCAAGAGATGCTTCTTCCCCCGGGGGAAAGCTCCGACTCACCGCGGCGGGATCCCCGCACCCCGGCGGGGGCTGCGGCCGCCACCCCCT